CTGTAGACTGCGCTACATCGTATATGTACAGTTAAACAAGAAAGATAAACTTTTCGTGATATCACACCGTTTCATGGAGTAATTGGTGGAAGTCAGTCAGAATTTAGTCTGCGCACAGTGAACGTTCTGGGTTGTGTGGAATAATTGCTGGAAGTTACAATAGTCAGAGGTTAGAATAAGGGTTGGAAGTTTAGCACACCCTGTACAAATACAAATAACAAATACAAATAATAGTTGCGTGTATTTGTCCAGGGCAGTATTTGCCTCCAGACAAATATTTGCGCAGGTTCTCAGGAGAGTATTTGCCTGCAGGCAAATATTTGTGCAGGTTCTCAGGAGAGTATTTGCCTGCAGACAAATATTTGCGTAGGTTCTCAAGAAAGTATTTGCCTGCAGGCAAATATTTGCGCAGGTTCTCAAGAAAGCATTTGCCTGCAGGCAAATATTTGCGCAGGTTCTCAAGAAAGCATTTGCCTGAAGGCAAATATTTGCGCAGGTTCTCAAGAAAGAATTTGCCTACAGGCAAATATTTGTGCAGGTTCTCAAGAAAGTATTTGCCTGCCAGACAAATACCAAATAATCTATTTGTACAGGGTGTGAAGTTTAGTCAGAAGTTCATCTACCGTATATGACACAAGATAACACACCCCCTTGGCCGATTTTCAAAGTTCGATTTCCCAATAGCAGGAAGAGTCACAGCGCCGAAAACGGCGGCGTTGGAACCGTTTTGTCGAGAGCTGTTCGAAAACGTATTGTTTCATTTATGCATCCTCTTCGTCGTGGAGTAATCGAGCTTTGAAAATCGGTCCAGGGGGTGTGTTATCTTGTGTCATATACGGTAGATCGACACCCAACTTGACCAAAGGGACAAAAAGGAGAGCCGGAGCAATGCAAGCGTAGACGAACACAGGATCCGCAATACTCTTGACCCAACATGAAACAATCGAAGGCTTCCCGATGCGGGAACAAATGAAAAAAAAACATGAAATAAGGGGGGGGGGGGGGGGCTATTCCTACAGTGTCCACGACGAGAAGCGAGACGGGATGAGACGATGAATATCTGCGAGAGAAGTTTACTTTTGACTTTTCGTGTCAGAGGTCGGGGCCGGCCATCGCTAGCAACAACAACAGGATAGAGGGCATACATAGGGTGGGTGAATCATACCTGTGCCACAAGCCTGGTGAAGGCAAGGAAAGACGATAAAAATACCAGCATCACAGGTCTTCCATATACCGAGGGCAAGAGGAGAAGTGCGGGGCGTTATGGGCCCGTATCCCAACAACCGTATCAAGCATGCCCGGAAACCGCGTTCCCGACATTTCCAGGACCACAACCATACTCCGGGAAACGTAACTCCTACAGCTACAACCGTTGTTGCCATGGTTGCTTTAATTTTTACTGCTGCTGCTGTTGTCGTTTGCTGGTGCTGCTGCTGTTGTGCTGAACAGCAGTACCGATGCGTACCTCTCTTGCTGCTGCCTCCGCCCCTGCCTTCGCTCGGTGCCCAGATCGTCCACGATAAAGTCCCCGTCGTCCTCGCTGTCGAACTCGTCTCGCTCCTGCCTCTGACGCTGCCTCTGGTGGTACTGCTGCTGCCGCTGCTCTTGCCGACGGGCCTCTTCCTCTTCTGCATTTTTTCAACACACGCATGACATACAACACAAACCATCGATCGTGTACACTCGTGACCAAAACCTTGCGTGGCATCATTTGTCCTGGTGCCTGTTTTCCCTTAAGAGTAGCGTGTCGCCGGGATTAACAACATCACAAGCACATAGCAGCAATACACAGAAGACGCCATACAAGAGAATGCAAAAAAAAAGAAGACTACCGTAACGATGCATGTGTCAAGCATGCCATACCTTCGCCGTCAAAGAGCTGGTTTCGCAAGTCCTGGCCATCCGACGCTACCAGCTCGTTTCTGTCCGACTCTCGATTATGGCTTGGACTGCAAGGATGCGAACGAACACAGCGGGCAAGCAAACACACACAGAGGAAAGGGCAAAGGGGACTCAGACAGAAAAAAAAAAAAACAGAATGCACCACAACTTTGTGTACTGGAACGCAATGAACACCAACGACGGTCCCACGCAACTCACAAAAACTCCTCTACTAAACGCTCTCGCACGTTCGGTGTGGTGCAAGGGTTTGCTTGATTTCCCCGTGATCGTTGCAATCATGCGGCATATCCTGTCAGTGTCAAACCATGTTCTTGATCGATAGGCATACGATAGCATACGACACAGTATAGGTCCCTGTTTAGTGCTGCTTGCCGGCACAATGCCGTTACAGTGTTTTCGGCGGGCACACACTGAAAAAAACACGTTATACAAGTATTCTACTTTGAATAGTTCCAGTGTCCGGTATAGTGCCGGTCAATTATCTGGGCACATACTATACCCGCACTAAACAGGGAGCTACTGCAAACAAAACACCCTCGCAAGTTTGGTCGTGTGATGTACAAGGCTAAATCATCCTGCGATGGCCACAATTTGCTACGGCATCTTCTTTCAGTTCCCAACCACTGCTCTTGATCGATACTACTGAAGCACATAGTATAAGATACGGTACGTACATGACTCCCTGCGCCTCCCGGATAAGCTCGAGATCCTCGTCGTCCGCGGCTTCCATGCCGTGTTCCTCCCTAGCCTTACGGAGGCGTTTTCTCTTGGAACTGGCACTGCTCTTGTTCCGCCGCCTCTTGCCGGAATCCGAATCGACGTCTTCATCTCCCACGACGAAACCGTCAAGCCGGTACTCGTTGTCCTCCTCCTGCAAAAAACAAAATAAACACGAAAAAAAGAAATGCGTGTATGCAGGCGGAGGGGTAAAAACCAAATGGTAAAGAATCAGAGGGTGCATATGGATGATCGACATGTTGTGTTTGTGTGATTTCGTCCTATTTATTTTGGCGACAGTCCCCCCACTTTTCGTGGTGAAACGTGCACTACACTTTTCAGTGTATTTTTTTCGTACAACTATAACCAGGAGGGGGTATTTACCAGGGCTTTTTTTCATATTTTTCTTTTTCTTTTCATGCCCCACCTTCCTCCTGCGGTGCGTGCTGAATTTTGTTTTTATCGCGAGAAGGGTCAGCCGTCCCTTTCCCTCATCAAAAGTGCTAACATCGAAATTTGGCACTCACGAATCGCAACAAATGCACGCACCCCGCCAAACCACCACAAAACCAGTATACACACGCCACGGAAATCTAGAGTCGCACGCTGAGGTGGTGTACCCGCATGTTGCACGACATACACACCACATGTACTCGTTTGTCCTATCAAACCCAGCTGCATCGCAACCTTGGTAGCTGCTGTAACTGGGACCTCAACGGGTGCAACGCACCGATGCACCAATGACCAAGGCAAGGAGTCACCACTACACCATCACGCGTGCAGGCAAACCCTAACCATCAAGTCTAAGCGAGCGAGCCTCCCAGCGCTACCTGTACACTTCAACTGGAGCATCCCAGCCTCCAATACAAAAAAAAACACCATGCACCGCACAAGACATGGGGCAACTGGAGAATAGTTGAGAGGGCTACAGCGTACGCCATGTAATAACGAACAACACAAAAACAGCACAGCAGAGGTCTCTGTCTAACGTAAGCCTAGCATGGTCCAAGGGAAAACGCCGGCGATATATCGGGCACACGGCACTATTCGGAGCTGAGACCACTTGAATATTCCATCTGTGCCAGGCGATCTCACCGGCCTTTCACAGGGCAACCGGCCATAAACAAGCGGCCTTGAATAGGGACCTCTACTGCATCCACAAAACCAACGCTCTAAAGATAGAAGACACTCACCTCCTCGTCGTCGTCATCGCTGCCGCCCCCGCCGCCACCATCGCTCTCCTCCGCCTCATCATCGAACAAGCTCGAAGCCGCCCCCCCGCCCCCCCTCTTCCTCTTGCTAGAACTGCTGCCCCCATCTTCGTCGCCCCCCCTGCTCCCGCTCCTCCTCTTTTTCTTCTTCTTTTTCTTCTTCTTGCTGCTGCTGCTGCTGCTGCTGCTGCTGCTCTTGCCCTTGTCCCTCTTTTTGGCCTTTCCTTTGGAGGATGAGGATGATTTCCCTCTTGGTGCGGGCACACTGCCCTCTTCGTCATCGTCGTCGCTGCCTTCGTCTGCGCCCGTCGATCCCCACACGATGACATGGAAAAAATTACAAGCACAACGAGTAGGGAAGGGAATTGGGGGGAAGGTGGTAGTGTGGCAAGAAGGCCATAGGGCATCATACAAACTTCAAGCCAGCACATTGTGTAACGCTGCTGATGTTGTCCATTGTCAAGAAGCAACAAGTCTGAAAAAAGTGGAGAAAATACAGCGCTGAGGATGTGCTAGCCAACCAACAATTAAACACCGACAGCAATCCATGCATGATACCTAAAGTATTATACAACCTTCATCTCCACTCAGTGGATGTCATCCTCCCTTTGATGTCTTGGATGCCTTCGATGACGCCGATACAAACAAACACCACAACGACATCGACCATCACTCATTTAGGTACATCACTTTGAAAGCCAGCTGCTCCTCTTGGAATGCTGTCAGCAACTTGTGGCTGTCCCAAGACTGCATCATCCATTTACTATGTACCCGTGTGCCGTTTATATGGAACGTTGGTGTGCGAGGAGACAGAAGATCGAGTCAATTGCAATTGTGTTCTATTTCCATAAAAACAAAACGGCGGTTACATCCACCAACCAGCAATTCCAAGACCCCCCGGCGTTTCACGAGACCCCCCTATTGTATCCTCATCCACTGGGCGAGGCACAATTCTCCTCATTTTGACGAGGTGTGATTTTACCTTGAAATCATGTCCTGATTACCCACCACACCCTCTCTTACCAGATCCGCCTCGGGCGAATGAACAACCCAAGACCGCCTTCGGGAGACACTAAGTATATGATTTGAGGACATACGAGAGGAAGGGGGTACGCAGACCCTATCCCTAACCCCACTTCCCCGACTGCATGCTTTATCCAACACGTCTACTTCATAGAAAAACCCTGCAAAGGCATTGGCGAAGGTTACTGACAACCCAGGACCCTCCCTTCCACACTCGTCACACCCTCATCGAGAGGTTGCCTGCCTGCCTCACCCGAGAAGTCGTCGTCATCCATACGGTCCTCGCCACCGCCTCCACTGTCGTCACTCCCGCCCCCCCCATCGCTGTCTCCCCCTGGAAAAGTGCAGGTATTGGGTGCCGGTCGATCAAGGGAGACAGGGAGAAAAGGGTAACTCACTTCACGCACGGAGCCGTGCGCGGCGACCAGGTTGTCCTGAAGCACCATCCTCATGGATGAAACAAGTTCACGAACCGTAGCTGCAGCAGCAGTAGCAGCAGCAGCAGCAGCAGCAGCAGCAGCAGCACTAAATACACAAGAAACAAGAACAAAAGGCATGCCTGTATCATGCCTACCTCGTCCCCTGGAAGACTCCTCCTGCCCAGGGACAAAGTCGCCGTCTGATTCTGCGGTGCCACAAGCGCAAGGATAGCAGCGGCATAGTGCCGATACCACCAGCAGCAGTAACAACAGTAGCAGCAGCATGCACGAGGGGATGGGATCAGAACAATATTAATAAGCACACGACCACGTAACCAACTCTTCGGCATGGTCAACCTTAAGGGGAACACAACCTTCACAATACTCGGTATTCTTCAAAGTAGCAGCAGGCGTGCGTTATCGCCAATCTAGACATCATTTTCGCAACAATAGAAAATAGTACTCCTTCCCCCAGACGAGACAGACAGCTGAGTCCACTCAAGTACTCGAAAGCTTGCGGTCCGCCTCTGCGGAACGAGCGGATTGATACCTTGAGAGATTGCTGCTGTCTACATCCTCGCTACCGGTTGTATGGATCGTCGCTTGATCAGGCGAAGCCTTGGCAATCCAGGACAAAGGCGGCTACAGTATTAAACGGTTACTTTAGTGATAAATAATATTGACGAATAGATCCAAGTCACGATCGGCGGCTTTGCATTAGACAGCTGTGCAGACATCAGCAGCATCAGCAGTAGCGCGATGAGCTACATTGGTCGTTCAACACCAAGATGCGTGGCCTCCGGTCAACGCACACATGCACCTGTCTACCAATGTTTGAGCAGGCGTCAAATAAACACCAAGATGCGTGGCCTCCGGGCAACGTACACATGCACCTGACTACCAACGTTTGAGCAGGCGTCAAATGTTGAACGATAAATGTAGCTCATTGCGCTACTGCTGCTGCTGCTGCTGTCTGCACAGCTGTCTAATGCAAAGCCGCTGGTCGTGACTAGGATTTCTTCGTCAATCTTATCGATCAGTCAATATCCAATATTGAATGTTAATGTTGTGATCGCTGAGGATGATCGACTCAGGATAGGCGAAGCCCGGTGTAGCTGCCTTTACTGCTGGGGTTGATGCGTACGCGTGAGGTCGGAGACGTAAGGCCATACCAAGCGTTTGAGACTCAGCTTGCAGCGGATCAATCTGATTGGCCAAGGCCTTGCCCGGTACAGCAGTAGGCGTATCCGTCGACATACGCTGCAGACACTCTTGTCTACGATAGCGGCAGAGACAAAGCCTCAAGGACTCCTTCAATAAAACAGTTCCAACGGCAGCTGTGGTTCTTCCCCGGCTGCTCATACTTAAAGGCGCGACGTACACCTGAGTGCGACTAGTGCCTCCTTTTTGCGGGTCGCGCGGCTCCATGACAAAAAGGCTAGATAAGGCGGGTGTGTTGGTCTTTCGACCACAACAGACGAGGTAGGAGCCCGGCAACCATTGGCTTCTCTCCAAGCGGTCGCCTTTCCGGTGTTGCTGTTTCTAACGGGGGCAGGGGGGTGCCCGCCCCCGGCCTGCCCAACCGCCTCTGAGGGTGCCTGGCATAACACCACCGCAACATGTTCTATCAGCAGTCTAACCCATTTCGACGGCGCTTTGGGGGGAAATCAACGGTGCGAACATCACAAGTGACACCAGACGTCCCACGAGAATAAGCACGCAGCCATTGGCACGCTACGGATTCGAGGGGAGGAGCGATTGCACGCTCTGGTCTCGCGGAAATAGGTGTCCGTGTGTGTAGCTCGCCAAACCAGGAGCAGGATTTACAGAAAGGCCAGAGCCCCGGCTTTTCAGCCCGCATTGAAAAGTTCAGCACACGCCGCAACTCTTTGCTAGCTCTGCACTGGAACACGGCCAACAGCTCAACCCCAGGCCCTATCTCTAGCAGGAGGGACCAAAACAAGAACGATACGAACCCTATTGGAAGATGGCAGCCAACCTGTGCCAGTTACGGGGAAAGTCTTGTCGTGTGCGACCTGGCGGTGTGCGCGGGAAGCGCCGCGCCATGTGTGCGCACAGGGCCAGGAGTAAACAATAAACTAGCCCAGCATGCCTGGAACAACAGGTAGATGCCACCCAACAGGCCCCAAGGGTAGAAGCTGGCCTCGGCATGCTTCACTGGCATTGCTTCTAAGAGCAAGCGTTTGTGCCCAAACAAGCAAACAAACGACGACGATGATCTCGCGAGAGGAAGACAACACCCAGTAGCAGCCAAGCAACGACTGCGGAGATCGGCTATAGACTCAGTCATGCAGGGAGGGAACAAGCGCAGAAAAAGCAACTCACCATCCGAGCTATCCATAGCTGTTTCACGCGATCCGCCAGACGCTCCTAGGGGGTGATCTCTCTTGGCTGCGCACACACAGCCTTGTTGTTGCTCGGCACAGTGCAGCAGGGGCGGGAGGGCACGCAGTCTTATTTATCAGAAAATGTCGGGGGGGGTGCCAACGGGCGGGAACAATACGTATGAAGCCATCAGCTCTCCCACCAACTCCCTCCTTGCGAAACGACACATGAAACCGTCGGTACCCTTATTTTTACTTAGCATCGACGACGACGACGGTCCTGTTCGTGGCGCGCAGTATAGGTCGTCGAAGAGTACGAGTGTATGGGCGAACGCAAGGGCCATTGTCGAATACGGGTGGATATGCCTTGGAGAAGTCCCGAGATCAGGCTTTCCTCACGTACATGCAGCGTTTGGTTGACCCGCCGCTGTTTTCTTGAACGGCGACGAGATGAAGGCAGCTGCGAAGCGTGCCAAGCGGGCAAGGGATTTAAGGGCTCGAGACACGGACTGCAGCAGGTAAAGCGGCGAGTTTATAATGGATAGCTGTACATGTTCATACTCTGATTATATAACAAGCATGTAAACTCAGAGTCCAGGCAAGAAAATGGTATTGCCGCAAGATTAGGCCGGTTTTCAAATTTCAACTTCCTATTACATGCACTTTGAATCGCGGACGAACATGAGACATGAGCGCAGCCGCGATATCCCTAGCTCTTTGCACGTCGTGAAAATGGGCAGTGCAACAGTGGAATGCAAAAGCACCGCAGCAATACAATAGCTGACCCGTGATGTCTACAATGAGTATTCGCAACGCCATCCATTTTTGTTCTGCAACTGAATCAAACCCGTTGTTGTCACACGATGCTCCTTGACCCATGGCGCGGGCATTGGAAACCTCAGTGTGACCAGCACCTCCACCTTAGACGATTCGCACCATCGGCTCCAGCACCACCCCTTGAAGCCCTCCACTACGATAAAGGTGAGGTTGACGTTGGGTGGGTGCTCCCCTGCTGCAGTCACTGCAGTAGACTGCTTGACTGCTGCGGAGGACAACCACATACATACACGAGCACCAGCATGCACCACGCATAGGGGGTGCCACGTAGTACTATCATGAATACTGCAATATGGAATAACCGGTTAGTCTACAGATCATTCGTTGTTACGGCGGTTTGTCAACGAAATCATGTACGTGTGTATGAGGTACAGCCTACGATGCTGTAGACTAGTCTCAAGCCATAGGGGCAACCATTCCGATCATGAGCGAACTTACCAGCAGAGCACAAAGGAACAGAGAACAGGGCCATGCCTACACGGTCTGTTAGCCAAGGCGTACCCCTCTAGTCGCCTGCGTATTGAACTCAAACTGACAACCCCGACGTAGGCTCTTTTCGATCCGGGCGTATATTGGGCTACACGAGCTGTATTCTCAGAGCGTGCGTGTTTTTCGTAGGTTTCTCTTCCTCTACTCAAGTCAAAGTTGCACCGAAGCTGTGGTGACATATTTCTTCGGATATCCTACTACGTGGTCTGACTGTCCAACACGGGTCTGGCATCAAAAACCTATTACTGAGCAAGATAATGAGACATACGTTTGGGGATATAGCTGTACTGGTACAGAAAAAACAGTCATGAAGTAATTCGAATGTATACATATGCTGTTGCTATCGTTTGAGACCACCCGGAGTTCGATTATGTGGTGATGTGTTGCCCCCTACAGCAAATTTTCCTAACAGTAGACCCTCGCTGACCTTTTCATGTGGGCCTCAAAATAAAAAAGACGGCGACAATGCTGCTGATGAATATGCGGCTATGGCTAAAATCACTCCCACGCTGTGTCTTGTCTAGCTGCTCGGAAAACCAGCTTACCTACATTACAATGATGTCCTCCTCTCGTGGTCATGCTACGGCTTTAAGGGTACCATGGCCTGGTAGATGATTTGTGCCGTAGAGTTGAGCAGTCGGATAACTTCTCCTGCTGCCGGGCCATGTCAAACGGCGGCTGATGATTGCTTGTGAACTATCGTTTTGGACCTGGGTTCTGGATCATGGCGTGAGGTATATTATTATTGATTGAGTAGCTACTGTTGATTGCGAGTAAAAGGGATGCAACGAGCCTGCACATCTCAACCGCAAGACTTTTCCCCTGTTGGCGTGTTCGCTTTGTATGCAGCACATCAAGTACGACGCTGGGGGGTACGAAGGGTTTGAAGAAGAAAAGAAACGTGACCAGCTAAACCCAGAGCAGACGGCCAACGGCGCGGACTTCACAGGCATTCAGGTACATGGGATTCTGTGCTTTATGACATGCCCTAACGGTGACCGCACGGGACCACGAAGTTCGTCTCGCCATTGGTTTAGAGTTTAACGAAATATGGCAGAAGGGTTGGGTCGCGACCCGAATGGCTTGATTGATGGCTGCGACAACATCAAAAATAAGCAACCGCAACGGCAGCGACGGCGTTATTGTGCAATGCATGTGGATTGGAGATGACAGTGAGACTCGAGAAGGTGTGCCATGAAGTCGTCTGTCCATCCACGCCGGGCTGGTTGCTCAGCCCAACGTTTTTGCCCAGGTTGTTTTACAAACGGTACACGACAACCGAATGACAGCTCTGTACACGGCCGCCGAAAACGGCCCTTGGCCATCTGAACAGCTTGCGGCAGGTGTTGACCTTGGTACACAAGTTCAGCCGCCAGAACTTGATCTGTTTGTCAGAGTGCTCAAACTGTCCGCGTGCTTTCTCTCTCCGCATTTGCACCCTCACCCCGATGAATGATTGCACGCCCAAGTTAAGGCTCTTGCTTGAAACTACTCTACGTTTCACTGAGGAACGACACCAAGTAGAGAACCTCACCCAAGCCTGATTCAGAGCCCTTCTAAGGCTTCCGAGAAAAGGACCGGTGTGCTCGTTGTGAGCTTTCTACGCGGCTGTTCGCTTTCGTTGTCGCTACAACCGTCAGTCGTCAACAGCGTATCAGCTTACCTTTGGCAGCAGCTTTCCCCATTCGGAGGGTGTACCCTCATCACCTTTACCTTTGTGTCACTTGCGTCATGTCCAGTGTAGAAATGAGATGTTTATCAAGTACCGATCGATTGGAAACTTACGGACCACGAACAATACATTTGTCCCCGAATGGTCCGTATGTTCTCAACCAGAGTGGTATGGAACAATTCGTTCAAGACGGTTTTACCCCTGCAGCCAAGTTCACTTTTGGTAGCTATTGAGAGTGCCGGCTACTATACAATGCTTTCAGGTACCCGAAGGGGCCCCGAAAGATCTTTTATGCGAAGAGTGCGAGCGGCGGAATGCGGTCGGGTTCTGCGAGGACTGCGGGGAGGCCCTTTGTGCGTCATGCCTGGCGATCCTGCACATCCCCAGCACAGGCGGTCAAGCGCACCCGCACCTCGCCCAGGCAAGAACGAAACGCACGACTTCTTTCGTCTACAACAACTCACTACGGCGGTCGTCGCCGTCCTCTAGACCCTCGCGATGTACTTTTGTGGCGCGTGTATCCACAGTCTCCACCTGAACGGAACGAACTTCGATCCGGCCTCAAGGCAGAAGGATTAACCTTTCGTTCTGACTGAAACTGCCGTCGTCGAGTTCCAAAGAAACAAGCGTTTGCAAGCCAGCGCAAGTCAGTGCCACCGAAGCTGTGTTATGCCCGATCGAAAGTTCGGTAGTCATGTGCCCTTTGAAAGGGGGCTACCTAGCTGAATTAACGAACTATCCCAAGGGTGCACGTGTCTGGCGACAACTCCCGACCTTGAAAAAAAATGTATTACCGCTGTTCGAAGAGAACTCCGCGCAGATTAGACACGGCTTCGGTTCCCCGCCCCCGTCGTGGTGACCGTGACCGTAATAACAGGACGGTATCCGATCGCTTCGTGCTGGTGACGAATCCTCCGTACTTCGAGAGGAAGAAGACCCTATCCCGGCGCACGAGGTATGTGTTGTGTGCCAAGGCCTGGTCAGAAACATGGATCCGTACTGTGCTTGCTTGTGTGCAGTTTCAATCGATCCGTATGTTTTTTTTAGTCTGCCTCTGTTTCCTTTAGGACAAGCAGGGAGGGACTTAAGGAGGTAGGTGTAGAGCACCGGAACGACCTTCTATGGGAATCATTCCACACTTAATGTTGCACGTCAAAAATGTTCTTGACCAGGTCGATGAGGACGAGATGGCGACTAGGAGAGACCTGTCCGTCCCTACCTCTCTCGAAGCACCGACCATCGACCTCACCAGCAGCACGGCGAAGAGGTAGGAGTACCGCCACAACGTCGGCTTGTGTTTAACTGCTCGGTATGTTGGTCCAACAAGTCCTGACAAAGTTTAGGAAACGAGATGTCCCCTTGCTCGACTCAGAGTGCTTCGTGATGTGTGCTCCAAGGGTAGTAGTGAGGAACATGCTCGGGAAACGACAGGAATGCCCCAAAGGGATACAGACACGATCCAGAAACACTACGGTGGTTGGAGCAACGGAGGAAAACTCGGATGATGGATGCAAAGTGACCTTCGTTTGAGAGGATATCCATTCATGTGCGGCATAAGCCTCGACCAAAGTAGAGGGCACAAGAAAAAGCTGGGTGTGAACCATGAGCAGCGCCTGAGGCCAAGATCAACGGTGTTGCGAAAACCGCAAAACATCATCCTCACGATTCTTTCGTGCATACATGTAAGCGCTACACGTGATGTTTACGCAGCACACAACTGACCTCTTGTGATTTTTTTTCTGGTTGTATCGTTTGCCGAATCTCAGTATACCCCGCGAGTTGCAAGCGGCAAGAGATCTCGTGAAATTCTTTCGTTTTTCTTAAGATTTACTCCCCGAACGCCTTGTGATCTGCCCCCTAACATCCCGTTGTCGTTGCTTCTACGAAGAAATGCTGCAGAACCTTTGCACAAGAAGGGACAGCTGGTCGTATTCAGGGCTGCATTGGCTGATTCTTTGCCCGACCACCTGGCAGGCAACGACGAGGAAGAAGCCTGTGAGGGTAAGTGCTATAGGGGACTAGGCGCTACGGTACGTGATATATGCAGAACATGTAGAGGGCCATGTTTAGCCGTGTCGTTGGCGCGTGCTCCATATGTATGCCGATGCTAAGCGCTTGTGACGGTTGGGAGCGCCCGCGGTGTGAAAATGAAGGGCGCTGCAAGCACGGACGTTGCCATAGAAGTTTGAGATTCATGTCGCCGCCGTGGAACCAAGTACTTGGGTATTGGACTTCCTGGTGTTCGGGAATATTTGAGATTGAGTCTAACTCTCTGGGACAATTGTTATCTCGCCTCGCTTGGCATTCCGATGTCTTCGGAAACGGGTGTTATCACCGAGCGAAAGCACATGCTTCCCCAACTATCGTACCCGTCTTACATTCTTTGTAGGCTCTATTGCAGATGCTGTTTTCTGCCCCAAAATCCGGCTCCGCGACTACTGTAGGGTCCTGCGGAATTGACACGGTGTAGCCGTGGGGTGGCGCTCCCCGAAATCAACGGACTGGACGCAAGCCCCACGCTGTCCTCGCCCCATGGAGATGTTTTCGTCGAGTTTCCTCCTTACCAGTACCTTTGAAGTACACGTTGCGCCCCGGGGCGTTTCTTCCAGTTTCTTTGGCCACTACTGGCGTGTGTGGTCCAATGACATGATGACATTTACGTGTGAAAGAACTGTTGCGCTCTGCAGATCACGAAAACGGCATGTCTGTTCGACGGCGAGGCTCAAGACCCCGAGAGTTGTACGGCGAGGTGAGGGGTAGATGTGACGCTTGCATCACACGATGGCAAGGTATACTACAGTTTGACGGGCGTCAATACACCGGTAGATGCCGCTCAGAGAATTTCTTGGTGTCGCGTGCTCTCCGTTTTAGGTTTTCAGCATCATGATTTCCATCTATTAACATTCATGAACTGAAAATAACGCCGCATCGCCCCCCACTCCCATCACCGCCCCGAATCAAGGTTGCTATTCGGCGTGATCCCAAGGTGCTTGACCTACCGTCGTGCCTAATGCCTTGCAATGACATATCTCTCGCGATAATGATTGGTGCTCTTTGCATTCTGTACCACGACGCTGGTTTGCGTTGTGCAGGTGATGTCCGTGCCCATGGCGAGGCACGGCGAGTGGGGACACGCCAGACGCCGGACCCAGGGGCACCGCCTGCTGGTCCGTGTCAGAGTGTTGGGAAGGGCGTCAGGAGGGTACTCGGAGCCCTTCGTAGAAGAGTGGCAGCGCCGAAAACATCAACGAGAGGGCCCCAGGTGATGATGCTCACACATTGACAGACGCGGTCAGTGTGGTTCATGGTTCACCACAGAAGGAGAAATGGGAGCAAGTTGCACGTTGGCAACGAAGAGCCGAGGGTGCTATCCTGCATTATCCCTGTGTACCAGTAGTTTAATCGCAGAGATTTGACCTTACCAGCTTCGATTGTTGGAAATCTTGTACAGCCATTGATATTCTACAACTACGGATCGTCTCTTACACAGAGTGTTACGGCAACAAAAAGCGATCCTACGAACTCGTCGATCCAAGGTGACACAGACGAAAATGTCCAAACAACCACAGAATAAACCTACCTCGATCGCACATTCTGTCTGTCTATCGTACACGCGGGATTGTGCTGCTGCTGCTTCTTCTGCTGCTGCTATGTTGACTCGATAAGTTCAGGGAAGCTTGCGTTCTACTACTGCTTTGTGCATTGTCCGCAGGGAACCAGTCAAGATCACCGGTGGCAGTGGCGCCGACCCCTTAGCCCGAGAAGTGGGGGCTGCGAAAGCCAAAGATGTCTGCAGGGAGGGCGTCCGGAGGACCTGCGTGCTGCCGGAGAAAGAACTCCCGCTCATTAACCCGCCACCACTGCCAACAAATACATCAATAGCACCAACACCGGCAACGGCGAAAGCGGGCACCGCCTTCAAAGAAACGAGATCGGGAGTCGGTGCCACCGGGAGGTCGCGAAGTCTCGAGAGCGGGATGGTTGGTGGGGTTGAAAGTGACGATCGCGGGGGTCAGGCGTTGGTGGTTCTGGTGCCTGAGGAGGAGCTGTTTCCGGTCGAGGTGAAGAGAGAGGAGCTCAGGAGGAGCCGCTGTGCCATCGTGGAGGCGTGCTATCAGGTACGAAACCTATTAAGTAGAAGGAGGCCAGCAGTAAATTGCTGATTCCTCCAGAACCTCCTGGGTATGATGCACTGATCGTTTACCTGCGGGAACCGGGGGAGAGTCCGACGCCGAAGAAATGTCCAACCTCGTCCAAGGGCTACCCTTTATTTCGAGACTGTTTCAGAGCCCATCGTGGAGGCGTGTTGTCACCTCGGGAACTTGCGGGGAAAAAAATGCGCCCGAAAACGACAATAGAGCCTGTTGCTGGAACGCGGGAATGGTTGCTGCAGTCTATTTTTGGCGGTGGCCCGCACAATACCTTGGAGTAAGACCACAACCCAAAGAAGCACAACACATGGGCTACTCACGTACTTTGGACATTGAAAACGAATGCACGTTACGTTTAACTATATCACTGCTCAGAGCGCGGAGAGAAGACGGAAAGCCGATGACACTCGGGCGGCCCTGAAGCGATGGCTTGACACCACCGTAGAAATACGGAATGAGCGTTGGGAATGGGCGTCTCGGATGCTGCAGAGGAGGACGAGAGGAATTCTTGTTAGGTGAGTAGCAGGTTTGGCTCTATCATCCCGTCTCTCCTCCTTGCCAGTGTTCACGTTTCGACCTCTGGTCGTGCCTGGGTCTGTATGTGTACAGGTTGATTCGTGTGTGCCAAGACAGCAAACTCTCCGCGCTACAACGAACGTGGAGGCTGTGTCTTGAGTCGAATGTACGTGTGCAACGCTTGTCCCCTCATGACGCTACGTCCTTACTACGAGTGCCCTCTTTTCTACGATGCTAGAAGACCATAGGGCGAACGGCACCCAGCCAGTACGCTTTGCTTGGTACTTCACGCGAGTCCACTCTAGTCGCAACCAGAAGAAGATCGCCCATCCCACCTCCGACGTTGTTTTTCTTTCGTTTCAAAGAATACGATGCGCACGGCAACGCGAGGCAGAAGAAAGGGCCCTGTGGGAGGCAGGGAGGAGACTTCACAAGCAGTTCCGATACCTCGACACTCAGGCGAGTTTCACACGCCGTACCTAGCCTTCCTGCCATTCGTGATTGGATTTACAGAGTATACACCACGTCTCTTGACGGGCGTGACCGAGAGTAAGTTACATCCTGGCCAGCGGCTGCTATCTGAATCATGGGACGATACACCCTAACCAACACTCACCAACCCATGTTACTCCAACTCATGACACCAGCAGTCGCTCCCGTTACTCCCGGCCTTAGAAGGCATCATCGGACTCTACATGTGTACGGGATATACGAGATATTAATGGGGGTATGCACAGTTTGAAGTCGTTTTCGAGGCGTGCGAGACCATTCTTTGGGGAATGGGTATTGACATTACCTCGCCGAACTTTGCGAGAATGTGTTCGAAGCAGGAGGGCTGTTTTTTGACAAGGAATGCGTACCCCCGGTGAACAATGTGTCTGGCAATGCTCTCAGAGCTGTACAAAGCAGAAGAATGCCCTGGTTATTCACACCTCTTTGAAACTGTTGTGTGCTCCTTCGCTGCCTTCTCGAAGACCCCACTTTCTCAAAGAAAAAAACACAATACTCTCCCTTCCGTTTAGTCACAGAATCCGTTGAGTGTGTTGGTGTCAGAGCAACTTCGATTTCACCGATGAATGGACAACCGATCTTCGTCACTTCATGGCGGTATCGAATACAACAACTCTGAATGCAGGAGCTTCGTGATAACGCGGGAGGCGGGGTGACCACTGACGGTCGGGTGTTCGTCGGGACGAAGGCAGAGATGAACCGCCTGGAGGCCCTCCGAAGGATAATGGCAGAGCGGGCCTACCGAATGCTCTGCAACGGTCAGTCGATTTATCTTGACAGCCCTGTTGCATTCTCGGCAGAGAGCTGTTGGGTGCCCTTTTGACAACTTCCAACAGCGTTGTCCCGACATCGTTTTTTTTTTTACTCATTTCGCTTGAGAATCTGCAAACGACAATAAACACGTTGGATTTGGGATAGGCCGAAGGACATCTCTCAAGCATGTGTTCACAGCACCTTGGAGAGATCCGCCGAAAGATTATAGCCGTCGACGCGCAGCCGCGAAAACTCGGTTCTTCCAGCCCTTGCGGTACTCCTGAGATACACTCGCTCTGAATGCATATTAATACTGCACCTTTGAATTAGCAACCTCCCGTCAACCCCAGACGACGGTTGCCTTACATGACGAAACCGAAACATATAGAATGGGAAAAATAAACGTAAAATTTGTCATTGGCAGCTGCTACCTAAATCCGTCAGATCGTGTGCGCTTGACAAGTAGGGGTGCATCACGTGAAAACTCGCTCGTTCAAGCGCTGGCTGATTCATACCGAGTGGGAGCGGCGGGCAAACGAGACGTACGTATTCAGCGTCGCCAAGGACGCCAGCCTTGCAGGAGATGAGGTAAGAAGGAGAGAAACTAAGGTAGGTAAGGGGTAGGCTAATGTTGAAGAATGGTCATATCACTTGCTACGAACTCCGGTCTCTCTTTGTAATATTAAGAAGAACAATACCGCAGGCAATCCCGTTAACTTGTGAAGCCGGGTCGATGGTCTAGAGGGTAAGTCAAGAAAGTTGGACAAATTACCGAGCCTAGACCCACTCGGCTATTGCGTAACTTGATTGATCCCCCGAACACCTTACACCGCTTTGGTTTCGTGTTGATCTTTGTTTTTCCATCTCAAGCAGCCTGTAGAAGCAGAATCGTACAAGACCGAGTGGCGACATCCGTCTCATGGCATCGCCATACCTCCTCTACCGCGGGTGCACTCTGGGAGGCTTAGTGCTAGGAACGGCGAAAACAATCAGGTGGGTTTATCACCGCCTGCGAGGTACGAGGACACCTACTTTGCTTGTCGAAGGATTCAAGTGTAGATCAACCGTAAGGTTTTCTGGCAGGCGTGTCGCTGTTACGGACGACGAATGAAGCTAGGCAGCAAAACAATAAGACCTCCGGCTGTCTGTAATCGTTTTGGCCATGACCGCACCATGTTCCACGGTGACAGCTGGATTCGATGGCGGCAGCCTCTGTAGCTAGGTCGATGGCCGGGCCCGCCCCGTTCTGCAGCTGGCTCGTGCCTGGCTTGGTGCTGATGAGTTCGTACATCGATTCCGAGGTAAGTCAGAACTTCATGATAGGGTTAGGGTGGATTCACCACAACGTTACAAGTTCCCAAACCCCCTACTGCCTTGGATTATTTCACAGAGGCAGTACGGTCCGGAAGAGGGTGAATGTCGAAACATCGATGTGCCTTGATTTTGTGTGTTTTGGTGTCATTGGTACATAGTTCATGATCCAGCGACGACTGTACCGCCAGGGACGGCTTTCAGGTGGCACCGCTCACCCCCTGTCTTCCTTGTTCATTATTGGGACATGCCCTCGTTTGCGGACTGACACGAAATGTGACGTGTTTGACATTATTCCCTGATACTGCACAACTACAGTAACCGCAATGCACAATGGAACATACGACGCAAGAGTCGACGCAAACCGTTGTTTGCGTTGCTAACACCTTTCACCACTTACTGCCCTGCGAAGGTGGTTCCGTGTTCGGCCGTGTGTACCCCCGTGCTGGCCTTCAGCACTGAGCCACAAGACATGTGGTGTTCGTGGTGACATGTCATGCATTGATGTTACCAACAGATGGGTGAGAATCCCGCCTGATCGTTCTGAAAGGGCCTCTCTGATGCGAAACGACATGTACGCATGTACCAATTCGCTGCGAATGAAGGCTTCAACGGTAGAGGTGCCCACATGTTCTGATGAAGCAGGCCAAAGCTCGACCGCAGCAGTTCAAGCAGCCGTTCTACCCGGATGCCGCTTCCCAGATCATGCTGGCGGGAGTAGGCACGTTGGTCTGTCTATCTTCGGAGGCCACCGTCCGTCAGCACGAGTCGGAGCACGAATTGGCTTTGTTCGACAACGCGTTTGGAGTTAGGTACGTTGGTGGTCGAAAATACGTTGATTCCAAGATAAAATTCTTAGAAAACGTGACGAAAGCAGTACAACTACCCCCCCCCTGAGTACAACTTCTGCGGGCGCAGGAAGTATGCATCGCTAAAATTAAATAATCTGACCACGTGTCGCTGACGAGGACAAGGGCGTGCGATGCAGGCATGATTTGTGCGGGGATATCCGGCCCCCAAAAGTCTGGGAGCGAAAGCATGTAGAGGCCCCACCACCCCGATTCTGAAGCCATTCGTAAAACGCGCCAAGTATACCACTTCGAGCTTGATGCATCGCAAAGTTGCTGAAATCCGACCAGGAGTTTTTCGGGTAACTCACACAATGCCATTCCGACGGCTTTATGCATGGAGAGACGCCGATTTCTATGACGGTACAATTGTAGATGCCTGTGTTGAGTCCGCCACAATCTTAACAACGTCATGCTGGGGTGGGGCACACCGCTTTCTTTCCCGCCGGATTCGATTGACGATATAGAGATGCGGAAACAACCCTCCGCAGGATTCACAAGGTTGTTGATGTTTGATCGTTTTACCTACAGTCGCATCCATATCTTGCGCGATGTCTTCATGTGACGTCGAGGCAGCCACAAGACAATCTCTGCCTCGATCAAGGTTAACGTGGGGGAGGCGAATAATGACGTCATGATGCTCCGCCGGGAGGAGAAAAACTTAGAGCAGCTCCGATTCGTCCAAGGTGAGTTCCGCGGAAAAATATCCGTGTGAACCAAAGGCATTGTCTTTCATGATACACCAGATGAGGTTTGCAAGCTGCTGCACGATACCAAGGATCGTAGGGAAGACTACTGTAGTGTGACCGGAGGCTGGTTTCTAGGCTCGAAACGCTTTTCCAACTGACTCTTTGTTGTCCAGGACACATTGTTCAACTTCAGAGTATATGCGCGATGCGCATGGTTGAGCCCCAAGATTCGCTCCATCCACTCGAAAAAACATGAAAAAGGTCTCACGGGCGCCCCGTTCGTTTTTAATTTGCCGCTTTCGTCGTCCCTGGTCGGATGCGTAAAGGATACGACCAAGACGAACGACGAAAGGCCCTCGCTTACATAGTCACCCGGATGCGCAGTGCAAGGTGTGCCTCGTTCTTGCCGCCTGCGTTCATGGAATTATTTTTCGTCGAGAAGGCACGGGGTACCTTCGCGGTTTTGAAGTTGGAAGCAGATTCGACAAAGCCGTAGTGAAATGAATGTCCGGAAGTCGGAGTGGTGGCTGACTCGGATGTATGTATGGTCTCGTGGCACCACCTGTGCTTCTTGCGGATAAGACTACCGTATCTGACAGGAGTGATTGGGCGCACGAAGGTAAAGATGTAACAGCAGACTGAACAATCAGATTTTCTTTTTGGGACGTACTTTCTCAGTCTGTTCGCACCAAAAATTCAGTCGACAAATATTTTCTGTGCAATCAGCGGGTAAAATCATCAGTGCGAACGCTATTATCTTGGTTCTTCAACTCTATGGCCAGACTTATCATTTGACGAGAGTATCGCAACGATAGGGCATCTTCAACACATGGGCGTATTTCTGAAGTGCCAATGATGGACAGAACCATTTCATTGACCAATCGCTTCTTCGAGTTGGAATCTGATTTACACAAGTTCACACGATACGACACGTCCACTTCATATTCTGTACGGCGATACCCATCTCGTAGGTGGAGCTTGATTATGGCCAGTTCAAATTCGAGGGATTGAGTTGAACTTGATTCGGTTCTATCACCGAGCCACAAACAAGCGTTGAACGTTTGTGCGTCTGTGGAGATCCATTCGTTTTCGCTGCTCGACTTCTTCCGTACATTTCCGCCCTGAAGAGTCTACGTCCGTATCCTCGATTGTACTCCGTTTAACACACGTTGTGTCGCATGTCGAAACATCAAAGGAGTGCCTTTACAGTCGCCAAACGAATGGCCGACATTTTTCCTGCCGAGCTGCATGTGGCGTGGGAGCCTCTCCCAGAAGACGAAGCACCTTCGGTAGAATCAGTCGTCGAGCTGGCCGTCAGGCTAGAGGACCGGCTACGGAAGGGAGAAAAGGTGAAAAGGAAAGGGAAAGGGGGGTTCAAGAAAGGATCTTCCGATGGTAAATCCTTCAAGAGGGGGGAAAACATGAGGAGAGAAAACACACGGGGAAGGAGTATCCGAGTTGTCGAGACCATGGAAGGGTAGGGAAAAATTCAATTGTTGCGTTTTTCGACTTGTCACGAATGTATCGTTCGGAGTTGGAAGGCAATAGACTATCTGGTTAGTTTTGTTACTGCGGAAAGTAAGTTCAAAAACATGTCCCTGTTCTCCGTTCTCCCCCGTTACCTTGCTTCTTACCTCCACCCACCTGGAAGTTGTGCTTGTGGTCGCCTCGAGGCCATGGCAGAGTAGGACTGGTCGGCGCGGTGCTTTTGGGCCGACTTTACGGTTTCACGGCCGAAGATGCTCTCCTCAGAGTACAGGTTGGCTAGAGTTTATTAGGTTCTCCCCTAGATTTGGTTTGGGTTTGGAATGGAAGCAATGGTGTGCGTTCTCGTGCGCGAAGTGCTACATTCAAGCCTTGGTACATAGCTATTGGAGCCCAGTTTTGGGTTATGCAGTCAGCTGTGGCGCGATTCGAGATTGTTATCGCGGTCGTCACCCTTGTCTAAGACGTTGGTCACTTTCCTGTTTCAAAATGTTCTGCGATTGGTGTCACCGGCACTTGTGTCGTAGAGTGTTGTGTTTCAGACCGTCACCGCTAAGAAGTTGTCCGTTTTTGTTCCTCGCCGTCCCGGTCATTCCGCCCTAACATGTAATACTGCGATTGTCAAAGAGAACTCGAAGACCAAGAGTCAATCCCTCCTCGTCATTGACAATTCCTCTCCCTCTCTCTCTCTCTCTCTCTCTCTCTCTCTCTCTCTCTCCCTCTCTCGCTCTCCGTCTCCGTCTCCCTCTCACCAAACCAAAAATATACCAATCGTCAATCTCTTTGACCTCTCCTTGCAATCATAGGTGTGCCACGATGCCCGGGACAGTCTCAAGGGACAGCCACAGATAAGCTGTCCCCAGACGATTGCGCAGGTAGGTACATACATCCTCATTCGTCGCATCGTGTTGTTTACGATCAATAGTACGTGCGTACGAACTTGCACTCGCCCGAGAAGCGTTTTCGAGCAGATTCTAACTATGACCTCTTGGTTTGAAGTTTGAAGTGATTTCGATCCCACACGCAATGTCAAGACTGTCCAGAGATCCACTGAACGCAGGCCTACATTGCCCTCCGAAAAGCATTCTGAATGACAATGTGTACATTGTGTTTATGCCCTGGCGCTACAATTACTCCGGAGGCAAAGCTCATCGCAACGCACATCCTGTCGTTGACCATGTTCCGAAGGTTCAGTGCGTACGTGAGGTGTTGCTGCAGCAATCGAGCATCTACACCGATCTCGTCATGCGCGCTGACCTACCGGCTAGCAAGCGAGGAATCCAGGTAGGTGTATATTTCCCAGTTATCCTAAGTTCTTTAAAACCGACGATATTCATCGAGAGTACAATAGTCATTTGAGGAACATAATCAAACCATTCGGGTGGTGGGGATGAACACCTTTGTCGCTCTCCGTAGGAGTAATCTGAGCGGGTCGTCGTTCAGGTCGAACACCAAACATGAGAAATTTTCTCCTGGATGGGTGTGCATCCTACATGTACCGCGCCCCCCATTTCTGCTGTTGCGCGGTGGTTTGAGCAGTCATCCGATTGTTCATCATTATGCTCCCGTCTTGTTTTCCGTTCCTTCTCCAACGATGCAGCCTCCCCGTTTCTAGCCCCCGCCGGTAGTTTTACCTCTCGTGCAACACCATTTCACTCTCTCTGTTGAGTTCTCTCCCCCCTATGGACCAGTTGGGCGGACGCATCGTAGAATCCTTGATCTGCCCTGCAAGGATATGAATCTAGAGATGATCTTAATCTCTCTCTTTGGGGCAACAACGTATTTCCCATACAACAGTAGAGTTGGCGCCGCGGAACAAGATTTCTTCGGGGGGGGGGGCGGGGGGGGGGTCGCCCCTTGTTCTTCCGTTCTTTGGGAGCAATGAGTAATGCAAGCTTTCTCGAATGAATGCCAGTTGCGGAGAATGATGTTTTTCTCGTAGATGCTCGAGAGCCTCGGTTGATGAAGGTACATGTCGGGTTTGTGTGTGGTTCCGGGATGGGTAGAAACGTGTTCCAACCGCAATGTGTTTGTACCCCACACTAGCCTAGCTCATAGCAGATCACTGTATGTTGAGCCATCTCTGCTGGATGTATCAAAATTGTAAATGTGTCAATGCGGAGCACCCAAAGAATCCGCGTCAAACCCTTGAATGAATGCATGCAGGTCTGCGAATCCATCCGCGGGGAAGGACCTCCGTCTCTGCGCCCGTCCGAACGCGTGGCCGACGAGACGCAGGCCGACCGTTACAAGCGCGAAAGGGAACACAGGCTCCAGATCGACACGATTCAGGACGACCACCAGCCGGATCTGCTGAAAGCATTGTTCCTTCCCCCACCAGCTTCCGGGGACCTTCTCAACACCTTGCCGTCCACCCAAGTACCGCGCGGCAACAACTTCGATGCTACTGGCACCCGTAAATGTGCACCAGGCAGTCCTAAGCTTGGCGTTCTGACGACGGTGACAACAAGAAGAAATAGTAGTGGAAGAACGGACCTTCCGGGAGGTCGTGGCGTCCTTCTTCCCAGGAAGCTGGTAACACTAGGCTCGTATGCGGGTAATTTATCAGACTTATCAGGGGAGGGCAGCAACGGGTTGACGATGTTGTCGCCGGCTCTGCTGGGGAAGGATTCATCCCTCCGACAGCCTTTTGCTCAAGACCGTGCTAGGGCCGTCGGTGCAGTGCCGTATCCCACCATGCGATCCCTAAGAAAAACGTGACGAGATTTTGTGGTACCACAAAAATAGAACAGCAAGGACGCTTCTTTGACAGGCAAGAAAATTGTGCAGTCAGAGTTAAATCTGTACTACCTATGCGGAGATAGTTTATACGCTGTCAATATGACATTGTCTATGATACCAACCTACCAATGAGACTGCAAACGCGTCGGGCGCTAATCGAAAGCTTAATATACCACCGGGCGTTGACGAGTGTGCTCAAACGAGTGTCGGGGGTGTTGCAACTGCACACCGAAAATGTTCTTGCGAACCATACGAACGGGGCTCGCGAAAAGGGTTGGAGCAACAGAAGCACCGCACACTCCCCCCGTACTCCTATCCAAACTTCACTAGATCATACGATATTATGCACTACCCAATAATATGTAAATGTATTGCTATTCAGTCAAGCGTGACCTCCCGACATTTGTAACAGGCGCAACGGGAGGTATACATCAATCGTCAGATCGGCACGTTCAAAATACATATCCATGTACAACCTAAAAGCCAACATGGTGTCATCCATGAATTGTTGCGGCATGCTGACTGATTTTCCGTTCGAAGCAAGCCAGAGCGTGCACTACTACCCAGGGCATCACGGGCGATGACAATACCCGACGTACCTCCCCGGCTTCCGAATTGTTCGTTGCACCCGAAATAGTGCCCTAAGCAACAAGGCTCCCCCTTATCCTAATGTTTCTATTGTTGTCTCCAGCCGAAAGCTCGGCCACCTTTCTGTTGGCATGGCATCGTTATGGCGTTAACTCTGGCGGGTGCAAGGTGCAATGGCAATGCGTTGAACAGATGCTACTGTAAGCCCGTCAAATGCGGCCTCCCGACGAAGACGACGGCCTAGACCCGATGCCGCCCCCGGCAGCGGTCCGGATTCTGCTCGGCGGCGGCATCATCCTCGGGTACCGCGACAACACTCCCGCCATGTGCTCCCCGTTGGCACCCAGAGGCTCCAGGCGCCCGGGCGGCTGATCCATCTCGTGGTGCTGCCGGTGCTGCTGTTTCTGGCGGCGTCTCGCCCCGGCGTCCTTGCCACCGTTCCCGTAAGCGCTCTCCATGTCGGAAGCTCCTCCCGGAATCATCATGTTAGAACTCCCTCTGCCCCACCCAGCAACGTCTCCCACGTCCTCCACTGCCGGCGACGTTGTCGCCGGACTGCCCGGCCGGGAGTTCTTGTCAGCCCCCGGTTCTTCTGCGGCGGTTAGCTTCAGCCGCTGCTGGCTGCTCGTTTTTTGAGGGCTTCGCGGGGTCCCGGCCCCCGCCATCGACAGCCCGGAAGCGCCGAGCTTCGGCGGCCCCGGGGGGCCCAGGGCGGGAAGAGGGCGGTCGCAGGAGAGGCAGCGGAACTTGGAATTGAGGCGAGAGGCGACGACGGCGCTGCCGTCACCGTTGTTGTGGGGTCCTTCGTGTCCGCCCGGCGGCGGTTCGCCGGTGCCGCCGCCGTTTGATACCATGGAGACCAGCCTGAAAAAACAAGGGCGGTTTTGAATATACCGACGCCGACTCAGATCATGCACATGAACGATGACTGCGCTCATCATTGGATGCTCGTGCCTACCGGTCGTGTTGAACAGCAACTCTGTTCGTGGATATAAGGCTGTCGGCGGATTGTATACTCCAGAGAGTGCGGTATCCGTCGTCCGTGATTACGAACACGTTGAAAACTCTCTCCCATCAAGCGCAGGAAACACTCACTTGGCCAGGTCTTTCCTCTCGATCTTGTTGGCTAGCTCCTCTTGCATCGCGGGGATGACAATGCCGACCTTTCGCAGCTTGTTGCCGACGGAGGCTAGCGCCTTCATCACCTCTTCGTTGTCGGCCTTCGTTGCCATCTTCCGTACCATGGGATTCCATACCGCATGGTATCGTGGTCGTGGATGTAGCACCAAGTCGAATCGGGACGTAGCGTCACCAAGCCATGAGGGCAGTGGCGATACGGTGGTGTGAACATACAGCAAACGGTCACATCGGAAAAGTGAAACATGACAAGAACGCGTTCGTGAGGGCGCTGCTTCCTGGACCCTCGTGCGCCTCCACGGTGAGATACTAGGCAACCGCTGGCCACACCGCTCAACTCAACTTATTGTTCAAAACTGAGTCCCTTCTTCGTTTTATCCGATACACAAGTCTTCGAGACGAAACCTCCACGCTCTCCCCCCTCCACACCCTACCTGTTGCTCCAGGCGTGAAGTTTTCTTCATCAAGTCCTTGATCAGTGACGCCCCCTCGTTGAAGCTGGCCCTCCGCCCGCCCACAGCTCCCTGCGACCCTCCCCCGCCGCCGCCGCCGCCGCCACCAAGCGCCGTCGAGAGGGCCGAGGACGGCAACGATCCGCTTATCACGCGGCTGTTCGCTTGAGACGGCGATGCATCGAGGTCACCCTCCTCCTGTCCCGCTGTCTCCGGGTTGTGGTTCTCCTTGTCGTAGTTGGTCGGCGGCGCGGACCGCGGGCGGGAGGGATCCCCGCCATGTCCCTCCGTAACCCCCGCTCCCGTCCTCGGCGACATCGCCCCGACCGCGGCCATTGCGCGAGCGTTCAGCGCGTCCCACAACCTTTGCAGCTCTCGCTGGACCCACGACACGTCCGCCTTGCACCCAAGGCGCTCCTCCAGGTCTTCGCCGTTGTCACTGTCCATGTCCAAGCTGCCGTACCGGTGGTGGCCTTCGTCGTGGAGGGAGTCCTTGATGTCGGAGACGGAGGTGTCCAGGCCGGACACCCGACCGCGAAGGTCGTTCCACCGCTCCTCCATCAGATCGCGAGCCTGCTTCTCCTCGAGGTTTGCTCGGACGCTTGCCGTAAGCCCCAGGAAGGCGACCCGCAGACTACCCACGCTGCTCCGCTCGCCGATGACGGGAAGGAGAGCATCGCGCGCGGCGGTTAGCCTCTGGACTAGGTCTTTCCGACCGTTGGGGCACACAATGTCGTCGATCTTGAGCCCCACCCCGCCATTTCCCTCCAGCGAACCCTGCCGTTCAATCTCGCCGGTTGCGGATAGCTCTGCCTTGTTCTTACTGCTGCTGATATTTTTGTCTTGAGTGGAAAGCAGGTCTTGTATGTGTCCGCAGAGAGCCTCCACACGACGGACTGCAGCATCGACGTTAGAGTCGCTACCGGCTCCGCCGCCGTCCGGCCCGATTTCGTCCCTTTCTGCCTGACCACTGGCACTCGCGACGTCGTTGCATAGACGCGAGCACTCTACCGCATTGACAGACACATGCCGGAGTTCTTGCAAGGCGTGATCGACGTTGCTGGCGCTGGACCGAGCGGACAGAACTTGACCCAGTTCGTGGTTGGCCTCAGCGTTGTCTGCTGCTGTCGCTGTTGCGTCGCCCGCGTTACCGCCGTTGCTGTCGAGTATCTTGTCGAGGTCTTCAGCGAGGAACTCAGTTGCAGTACCCGCCGTTTTAAGGAGGCGGGCCATCCGCTCTGCGTCGGTCTCCTCAGGTTCCGTTTCGATGGGAACAGCGCCTCCAGCGGCCGGCGTGCCACTCTCAAGCTGCACCCTTAGTTCGCTCAATCGTCGCTGGTGCGCCTGTTCTCCGGACGGTATGGGGGCGGGGGCGGCACGGAGCGAGTTCAGAATGGCCAACATGGGCTTTCGTGATGCTTTGGACGATTCCTAGTGTCATATCGGGACTGTCAGTTATTTCGCTCTCGGAGGCTGCCGGTGCTTCGGAGGAGATGGGTGCTTTCGTTGCATGTGGTAAGAGAGCCCACGTTACCATTTCGTCACGAGTGCGTCTTGCGTTTCGCTTACGCCGTTAACGTGCAGAAATTTGGTGTAAGGAAATATGAAATCGATTAAGGCATCCAAGTCCATGGACAGCCGCGAGCATAATCAAGAGAGCGTTTCTGATAGCGGTTCGATCGCGCTCTTTTGAATGCCCTTCTCACCTTCTTGAGGTTCTCGAGGCTGCCCAATCGGTCCTCGTCCACTCTCAGCCTCCTTTCTACGTCCGAGATGCTTTCACCTACCGCATGCATCTGTTCGAAACAACGAGCGACGTGATCGTCAATGAACAACGCGATCGGGCGAGGAAGAAAGGCACGAAGGAGCAACGGGTCGGGAAAAGCTAAACCTGTTAGGAAGTGGCACATCTGCTACGTGGTAAATCAGCGCTACTCTCTTGAAAGAGCAGAGCGTTCGATAGTTCAGTGTATGCGCGGTATATCAACATGTGCCCGGATTTCTCACCTCCTCCTGAACCTCTCCTATTCTCTCCTCGGCACGCCGAAGAGCCTCTTCGCTTCTGGCGTAGCGGTCGTCCATGTCTTCCAGCTTGGTCCCGTTGCGTCTAATCTCGCTCTCAAGGCTTGTCTCTAGCTCGCGGTGTCCGCTGGCAAGTCTTGTCTCCAACTCCGTCATGTCCGACTTGAACTTCTCTTCCACCATTTTCTGCGAATACATTTGCGTACGTGGGCGTGTTTCCGTTGGATCGGAGTGAATTTTGTTCGAAAAGGCTAGGTAGGAAGTTCGATAAAGGGGTGCACTTGATTCAGCAGCAGGACCTTGCTACCTTCAATCAGCTACGCTACACTCAAGTGACTCTCACTCGAGCTTGAAGAGCGCAGTCTCCCCCACAACTGTCATTCGAAGAATACCGGGTAGGGTTAAGTGACTTGGCTTTTCTTGGCGATTTCTCCGCGTAACTACCGAGGGTACCACCCACGGCACGATCCCCTTTCTCGGCATCCTCAACCACCGTGCCCTCACACACCACCCAGATCGGTGTCAAAGAAGGACCCCAGTGGGACCCCCCAACTCCCGTCGTATCGCTGCAAGCAAACTGTCAACGAACGTTGCGACACAGCGCACGCGGGCTGAAGTCCTTCGATTCAGCTACCTACCATGTTGACCGCGAGTTGTTGACCGAAGGGGGCGGGGTAGACCACGTTCACGGGGTTCTTGGCAGCGACAACAGGTCTCAATCCAGAGACCATAATGTCTTCACGTGTCATACCTGGCCATTCTATGGGGCACCTCGACATCGGCACCTCTGGGCAACATTTCGCTTCCAAAGCACATACCAGCTGTCAGAAACCCCATTGATCTGTCTCGAAACACAAACCTTTGTGGCGTGCACAATCCCGTTGAACTTCTCCTCCATGCCGAGCAATTTGCACAACTCCTTAACCATTTCGTTGAGGTTCTTGATCTGGGCAGTGTGAGATCCAGATTTGTCTCTGAGTTGATTCACCACTAGCAGGTGCTCTGTCGTCTCGTCCAGCCGTTTTTCCACGACAGAAACTCGGGAACCCATTCGCACGGTTCTGATACGAGTAACAACCACGCGCAACAATGGGATTGGAAGAGAGCATGACGCCGTATACCATTCCAGGATAGCAGTTACAATATTCAATAAACCTTTCAGTGAGGACAATCGTTGTGTTATGCCACACGACAGGTAGCTGCGAAGTTGAGAGAAGGTTGACGTTGATTCAACCATGCTACCTCTGTTGTTGTGTGCATTCTGCACGAAGGCGAACATATGGTACCGCTAGAACTGCGTACATGCACTACTGTAAGCAGTGCCCTCGGCTATTGGCGGCCCGCGCTCATCAACTCCGCATTGACCTGATGAGCTGGAGTAAACAATTACTACTGTAGCAACATCGTACCCATCGCGACCAAATGTCAGACTTAATCGACGACGACGGTTCGGTACGGACATATTTCCCCTCATCAGGCACCGACACGCTGTCGCGTACCGGTCGGTGGCTCTTTGAGACATGATCTCGAATTGCTTCCTCTTCCTGCGCCGAACCAGCTGGCAAATCCGCCCAAAAGCCCAAATCCAGCGCTGCCTAGCGATGAGCCTTGCAGGACAGAGTGTCACAAGCCAAACAGCAAAGCATCATATTCACGTGAGCATAGGGCATAACCAACCTCAAAAACACTGGAGGATGGCAGAGAAGGGAGGGAGTTACGTCTACTGAGAATGGTGCAGCATGTATTGGCTCGCTGAGTAGTACATTGTATCTTGCCAAGTGTATCGTAGCAGGGTCGCTCTCCCATGCAGTGTTTAAAGAATTTTCGTTAATCGTACAACCCTCCGCCCCTAACGTGTGAGTCCCGTCGAGAAAAGAGACCAACCATGGTGCTCGAAAGGCAAGCATGTGATGTCTTGCGTCTTCCACGGGCACCGAATGACTTGAAAAAACCAAGAACCAACGTGCGCAAGCCGATTTTTCCGTGGTTCACAGCCATCACAACCGCCCCCCCGGGATTTCCGGTCTGAAGAAACCCTTCCCGCCGAAGCAATCACCTAACGTGCTTATCGCGGGATCTCTTGGTGGCAATACAGACGTACCTCGAGTCCAAGACCCCAGAATCTATCGATGCTTGCGGACTGAAAGCAGTCTTGACGAAATCGTTCCCCTCGCCCGGAACCTCCGCTTCTTCTCCGAGGACACTTTCCCCACCGACAGAGCTTTCCTGCTTGGAGACGACCATGACGTCATTCCTGCCTTCCTCGGCCCTGGCGCTGTTCAGCTTGCTGTTGGAACCATCGCTCTGGTCGTCCTGGTTGCTCCTTCTCCTCTGGGGATGAAGGTCGTTCGTATCCTCGCCTCCCGACACCAGCCCTGTTGGGAGCTCTCTATCCTCTTCGCGTGGACTGCCCGTGTCCGTCGGTGATGATATCGACGACAGATCTTTTGCTTCACTGGGATTTTGGTGCTCGTCTGTATTCTCCAGCGTTTCTGACGCCGACGGTCCGGCGGCGACAACCGTGGGTTTCAAGGTAGCTTGAGCGCTGGAACTATTCCCTGGGGCGGTGAGTATTGCCGCTCGCTCTACCTCTCCTCGCCCTCCTCCTTCGTTCTGAAGAGCCACGTCTTTGGCGCGTTCAACAACGCCCCCAAAGCTTGTCACAACATCTTCGCTTTCATCTCCATCTCGGCCTACGTTGGCCAGTTCCTCATCAAGAGAGATTTTGTCGTTACGGAAATCGAACGGGGAATCCTCGCTACACGAGGCCATCTGCATGCCGAACGAACCGCGCCGGCGGAGGGAGGGAGCCGTTCCTAGGTCGGTCGGAGAGCCGGCGCCCCCCCCTCCCCCGCCGGCTATGCTGCTCCACGCACTCATCGTGTCTTCGTCGGCTTCTCCGCTAATGTGATGGACTATGTTCGCCAATCGTGCCTCCACCTTTGATTGTGGTGTGGTCGACGAAGGACGGGTACGGTACAAGCGATACCGTAGAAATCACGAAGTTTAGGCAACCAACCATGAAGGGATATTGTCGAGAGAGAGGATAAGACGGTCACAGCAAGCAGCGTTTCTCCACGGTTCAAAGTGAACAAGAAGCTCTCTCTCTCTCTCTCTCTCTCTCTCTCTCTCTCTCTCTCTCTCTCTCTCGGTATATACTCCATCGATGGCAGTGCTCTAAGGGTTCAGTCACATTTCGCAGTATTGTTTTGTCCAAATATTTTGTCGTTCGAAATAGAAACATATCGTGGTCTACATAGGGTGGTAGCAAGCCGCCGGGTAGCGTGAGACCTGCACGTGTGCGCTATTATCTCTGTCACGTGATGCAAGAACAGAGTCACCCTCGCCGAACTAAGGGAGTTCACACGCTCGCACAATGCGGGAACGAAATACAGACGTGGTGGAATACGCACTCAGTGCGTGCTGTATATGTACAGTAGTAACACTCCATCGTTGGCTCTGCCAATTTGTAATCACCTGTCTGTCCGTAGATACTTTCGACTGGCCTTGCCATTTGCGAATGCGTACTCACCTGTGAAGAGTTTGTGTCCATCTTTTTTTCCAAGCGGTCCAAGCCGCCGCACAAGGTCTCGAGGACATGGTGGATCGACCTCGCGTTCGAGGAGAGCTTCTCGAGGTGTCCCTGCGTTACACGTCGGACAACATCAGTTGGTGCCGAGTTGAAGAACAGCGAGCACCCCGATGACACCATGAATGGAACGAAAGTTTTATTTCCTTCGAGGAGATACGGGAGCCGATTTTTCAGGAATGCACGACATGAATCCACTACACTATATTGTTGTAGTTACATTGTAAACGACAAGAGCACCACAAGTAGCATATGCAATCTGCAACCTCATTTTTGGTCCGTCGGCCTGCCGCCGAGTGTTTGACAGCACATATCACCCCCTGTCACGTTGAATAACACCCTCCCCAGCATATTCGCCCATGTCCTCGCGTCGATGTTATATCACCACTCCTCCGTTGTGACGCTTTGCGGTATATGTCGGCTGGACGTTCCACGACAAGCGCAGAAGGTCACTTTCAGTGACTTCGACGTATTTGATGACAGAAGACGACGGAGTCTTACGGTGTGCGGACGGTGCCGTAGCTTCATGATCCCCGCCGCCGCGCGCATGCCACACACGGAGCAAGACGCCGCAACATCTGAGATCATACAGCTAGGACTCGCCTAGATACGGTTGCAAATACCTGTAAGTTGCCCGTGAACCCTTCCGGCTTGCTTGGTTTTGGGAACCCTGGGATTTCAAGCCCGTCCTCCAGCGACTCCGGCCCATCGTCTGTGGCATAGCGAGATACCGAGAAGCTCATATCCGACAGCAGTAGAGTATCCGCTTGGCATCACTTGCGAAATTATTGATTGACAGGTTTGGAAGAATGCCCTGTAGGGCACCTCCCACCGGGTCTGACGTGCAGGGTGCAGGGTGGCAAACAAATTCAATTCGGCACAGCGTCGATCCGCCCGCAGAAGATCAGAAACATCCCTTGTCGCATGTGCATCCAGAGGCGGCGGTGCCAATCGCGCATGTTTTCCCTCGTCTGACGGTTTCATATTTTTTCCTTCTTGAAGTACAAGTTGTAGTCTCGACTTTTAACACACCACGAATCACATCAATCACGGAGTTTTTTCCAGTTTCCCTGTCTTCCTTCTGCGGCGTGCTTGCCTTGAAATGATCTCGAGAAGGACTCAGTCGTTCCTTTCCCTCGTCGACCGTGAAGCTAGACACACAAATGATTTGTGCATGATGGGTCTTCCTACGGCGGTACATCAAGTGCAGTTCTGCGACAAAAAGTTCCGCCGTAGGTAGCCTCCAACTCCTCTATGCGTATGTATACTTCAAGGGTTACACATATACGAACATGAGCAAGTCGTTAGTACAGGGTAGTCAGGCGAGCAAGGCGAGAAGGTGTTGGGATGTCAGCATAGCGCTCAATCGTCTGGTACCTGAATATGAACACATCAAAACACATGAACACTACAATGCACTCCCACTCCCAGACAGTCAGACGTCAGACAGTCTTCTGCCGAGTTCCGCCGCATCTCTGTTTGTGCCGCCGCATGTCCCATGTCACGTCTGCACGTCTTTTTACGTCTTACCTCTCTGCTGTGGTGCATTGTAGCGTTTGTCTCGCCGCATGGCATCGACCTCTGTGCCACTCCTGCCAGCCAAGACAACAGAGCCTGCCGGCGAGACAGCGCCAACCACGTACATCAACACCACCAACAACGATCCAGTTGGCGCAGTCCAAGACCGAACATGCCAGGTTCGAACCGTGAAGAAGAGGACCGCTCACGGCTTGTCGGCTTCGAGATCGAGATTTTCAAACTCCTCCGGAGGGAGGCAACTCCGGAGCAGTGGAAGGAGTGGCTTCGAGCACCTCTGGAGCATGCCGCGGCCGAGGGGAACTTGGATCTATTCACACGGCTGATGGACGCTGGTGCCAACACGGAAGCAGGCTGGCGGGGATGTCATGGCCGAACACTGCTGGGTGCGGCTGCACTTGGTAGGAGTGAGAAGATGATACGCACCCTGCTCACCGCGGGGGCGACGGATGACGTGAACGTCCTCTTCGGGGGTGAAAGCGAGTCCGCTCTCCACGTTGCAGCAGCGCGGGGTGCTGACGACACATGCAGGGCGCTCATGATCGCTGGAGCAGACCCGAATGTGCGTGACCGGGTGGGTCGTAGTCCGCTCCACGTCGCTGCCGAAGCTGGGCACCACCGAGTTGCAGGTAGCCTTCTTCTGAACAAGTCCGATGTAGACGCGAGGACGGCTTATCGGGAGACTCCTCTGCACCTGGCTGATTCCGAGGGCCAAGCGCTGTGCATTTCTGAGCTTCTGCTGGGCGGTGCAGACAAGGATGTGGTCGATGGTTACGGTCAAACGCCACTGTTCAGGGCGGCAACAAACAACCACCCCAAGGCTGTCGAAGAGCTTCTAGCTGCTGGTGCCAACTGTGGCCTGCGTAGTATGTGTACCAACGGCAGCCGTTGTTCTCCGCTCGAGATTGCTGCAGGCAGAGGTCACGCGGACGTCTTGAAGGCCTTGCTAGACAAACGCAGTAGTGAAGTCGACACCGCCAATGATCTCGGGTGGGCGGCTTTACACTATGTTGCTTCTTTCGATGAAACTGTTCGCGACAAAGGTGATGCTGTGCGTGTACTGTTGGGAGCTGGGGCTGATGTCAACGTGAAGGGCACCAACGACTCCTGCGCCACGCCGCTCCATCTTGCCGTGAATCGTTGGATGACATCTACCGGCACGATTTGCGCCCTGTTGGAGGGAGGGGCCAATATCAATGCGCGCACTGCAGGCGACGATACGCCACTGCACATAGCTTGCACGCGTTTGAGAGGTAGTGTCGTGGAGCTTTTACTGCGTTGGGGAGCAGATGAGAAGCTCCCGAACAACGATGGAGACACACCCGCAGACGTGGTAGGAGTGTTGGAACAGAATGACCTTGACGACGAAGAACGCGAGGCCGACAACCAGCGCATACACCGAATGTTGGCGCGCGCTCCAGCCGACAGGTCATGGCGTCGCCGCGGCTGGCTGGTGCTGAGCCGCTCCTGCCCGACCAGGGTGCACATTGCAAACGGCAGCAGCAGCAGCAGCAGCATAAGCAGAATCAACGGTAACTCCGCCAAGGTGGCGAGGGTCAGTGGCCAGGGTTCAAGTCGGGATGATGAGGAGACGGAAGACCAGATGATGGTGGACTTGAGGGATCTGGTGGGCAGGCTGGTCGGACTGGAGGCAGAAGGCTTGTTCCGCTTGGTGGTGGGCTTTCTGTGAGGTACGAGAGAGAAGGCAGATTTTTGGCGAACCGTCGACAATGATCACGTTGCTATGGAAGCAAACAGAGACGGCCTGTAATTTCCCTCCATTACTCCCATTTACAAGCGCGGAAGTTGCGTAAGTTGTTTTTCGTCGATTGCTCCCGCACCACCAATTCCGTTGTACTGATGTACAGGGGGTTGGTGGAAGTAGCCCGATGTCGTTTCGCTTCAGATTTGACTATTTATTACGTTTCGGGCAGCGGATGGTTGCCATTATACAAATGTCACATTTATTGGACAGTTGTTATGGGAGTGCGAAACAAACGAGGTTTTGAGCGGTGCCGGCCGAACAAGGAGTACCTCGTACTGCTGTTACGTGTACCGCTGAGCATTTGCCGGTTGCCCGCGATCATTCTTCACCGTTCGGGAGAGGGCGTCAACTCTTATTCGTTTTGTACCCTCCAGCTCCTTCCTGTTATGTATATACATTCTGTGATGTGCTGTTGGTGGTTGTCCAACAAGCTGCAACGAAACTGTTGTGGTCGTGCGGTATCTGGCCATGCCGTTCAGAAGTCTAGCGGATGCGTCACGTCGAATTCCCGCACACACCTGCTGTCCTGTGCTCACCACTGGCAGTGCAGCCCATCCATGGCTTTTTTGTGTGACGATACTTCCGCAGTGCGACACTCACTTGGATGCCATTCCCGGCCTGAGCTAAGATCAAGGACATTTAGCTCCCTCTGTTATTTTTTCATTGTTGGAAAGATGGAATGGCCCCATATAATGCTTTTGATAGTTGTGCCCTGACCATGCGCTGTCTTCTTGCTGTTTTCTTCCGTGACTACGTACAGCTATTTAGGTTTCAAGCACAGCAAGAGGTCCGAGCGGTGTCCTTTTGTTCGAGCCTATCGTAGCTGTCTGATTCTTGGTGCCAGGTGGTGGCTACTGCAATATGTCGATGGTGACAATGGTGGCTGGAGAGTTGGCACAGATTCAGGTGTGCCACAGATTCAGGTCCAAACCCTGGGGATATCTGAACCTTGGTTGTGTTCTATGTCGTGGTTTCTCTAAATAGATCTTTGTGTATTAGCAAGAACTGTGACGAGTCCGTCTCTCACGCCTTGGTAATTGTGTTGCGGCTGGCAGGTTGTGAACCCGGTGATATCAAAATGATGCGTTTTGGAAGCACGGAGGGACCACGGCTACTATTTTTTTATTCCCCGTTTTGTTGTTCGATGGCTTCCCAGCACGCCTTTTGTTCTAGGTTGTTTGGGGGCGTACGTCAACGCAAAGGCAGGCATGCATTTCGCGTTGTGTTTGTTTGCCGAGGAGAGCGTCGTTTGTTCTTCCTGCTATGTACTGTACTGCATTTCGCGTTGTGGTTGTTGCCGAGGAGAGCGTCGTTTGTTGTTCCTGCTATGTACTGTACTGATCTGGAGTGTCGCAAGGGAGGCGTATAGTACACACGCTAGGGTGTGGGGGGCGTATGTCGAGCGCATGTAGGTAGTTCGCGGTGCTGCTGTGATAGCTCAACGCCAGGGATGTAGTAGCGTTGTGTCAATATGTTTGCGGCGGAAGAGGAGAGGGTGGTGCGTCGGGATTCAAGCGCGCCATTAGATACTGGTGGCATTTAAATTGATGCTCCGGTGCGCCGGTACCTTGCTACGTGCTCCAGTTGATTCAAAGAGATCCGGCGAGGTTTAGACTACTGCCCATGGTTTTTCATATCATCTATTGTTAATATCTAGTACGGCAGCTTAACGGACACGAAGCCGCTCATTGCGAGAAGACAATTTGAATCCAATGTCTGTACAAGAAGAGCTCCCCGCCTTCCCACCGAAGAATGCGCCACAAATCACACTCCCTCCCCCGTCAACCGCGCACGGGGCTCTTAGACTGCGCAGGGGTGGGGGAGACATTGCCCCCTGTTCCCATGCTGCCATGTTTTTCGGGCTTGTTGCGATGTGGTCAATTCGACTTACTTGCAAGGACGGAACGACGTCATCACAAAGGATGTGGCTGTGATGTGAGACGACACAACAAAAAAGTTGTGCAGTAGGGATTTGGCGTACAACATGTTGTTCGCCCTGTTCTATCTGTACGCTGCTTATCAAGCGCAGCCACACGGTGGTGAACCAAGCGCAGTCCACCACAGGACGCGTCACACGCGGGTGTGGCCGGTGGTAAAAAAGTTACGAAGAGCGAATGAATCTGACGAACGTCGGCTGGCTGTGGTCGATACCTCTCAAAAGCTGGTTAGTATTCAGACGTTGTTACAATTAGGCTGCCCGATTGGAGAAATAGTTCAAAGCGATAGGGTCCTCAGCAGCAGCCCGCGGTAATAGTTCGGAATCGGTACGCAGCCCCGTGCCTGGTCCAAACTGCTGACTGTATGCAGGAGAGCAGAACAATACGGACGCGTATGTGCATACATACAGTGCTTCCCGTATCCTTTTGAGCTTGTCGCAATTGGGGGCGTGTAATCTGCCTACATCACCCCCAAAACATGCATGATACGGAAACAACATGGAAACAAAGTACCTGTATATTGGACTACTGTATGAGTGCGGGGGCCAAGCTTTGCGGGCGCTGCTATTTTTCATGTTGTGTGCCCGTACAACGCACGCAAGCCGCACACACACTTGGGAAATAAAAGCTGCTCATCAGTTTTCGGTCCAAAAACATTTCACTGCGATCCAGACTACTTACCGAGTACCAGGTACTTGTTAGCAGAGTCAGCGTTGGTTCGTATGATACCGCAGTCGAGCAAAGTATGTAGGCTATATACTTGTACACTCTGTAGACCACAAAAAGTATACCAGACTGGTAAAGACTGTATGGAGAATATCCACGTGGCAGTAACGAGCCTCTCGCGCAAAATGTCTCCCACTCAGCAGCTCAGCAGTAACTGCACTGTGTTATTCTCGCCAATTCAAGAGCGCTTTCAACTCCTCAATATCTTCAAGATTTACTATAACGGTTGAGCAAGTTGTTATAATAGCGCAGGGTACAGTAGTCAGGCGAGCAAGAGGGTGGTGTTGGGGGGTCCAATCCTTGTTCCTGACACGAACACTCCCTCCAAAAGTAGAAAAGGGGAGATGTCCCTATATGCTGTCTGGGAAATCGTAGACATACAGGTACTTTTCTGACGCTATAAATCCATTGCTAATCTGTCTCAGACTCTATGATGGAGATGGTTTCGTGGTGTCACAATAAGAAAAAAAAAAAAAGTAGCCTGCGTAGTTCCGCCGCATCTAGTGTTGGTCTCGCCGCATCATGGCATGGCGTCGATCTCCGATCTCCGTCTCGCCTCACTCCTGACAGCCAAGACAGCAGAGCCTGACAGCCAAGACAGCACCACCGTACATCAATACCACCAACAACGACCCAGTTGGCGCTGTCCAAGACCGACCATGCCAGGTTCGAACCGTGAAGAAGAGGACCGCTCACGGCTTGACGGCTTCGAGATCGAGATTTTCAAACTCGTCCAGAGGGAGGCAACTCCGGAGCAGTGGAAGGAGTGGCTTCGAGCACCTCTGGAGCATGCCGCGGCCGAGGGGAACTTGGATCTATTCACACGGCTGATGAATGCTGGTGCCAACACGGAAGCAGGCTGGCGGGGATGTCATGGCCGAACACTGCTGGGTGCGGCTGCACTTGGTAGGAGTGAGAAGATGATACGCACCCTGCTCACCGCGGGGGCGACGGATGATGTAAACGTCCTCTTCGGGGGTGAAAGCGAGTCCGCTCTCCACGTTGCAGCAGCGCGGGGTGCTGACGACACATGCAGGGCGCTCATGATCGCTGGAGCAGACCCGAATCTGCGTGATCGGAGCCAACGTAGTCCGCTCCACCTCGCTGCCGAAGCTGGGCACCACCGAGTTGCAGGTAGCCTTCTTCTGAACAAGTCCGATGTAGACGCGAGGACGGCTTATCGGGAGACTCCTCTGCACCTGGCTGCTTCCGAGGGCCAAGCGCTGTGCATTTCTGAGCTTCTGCTGGGCGGTGCAGACAAGGATGTGGTCGATGGTTACGGTCAAACGCCACTGTTCAGGGCGGCAAAAAATAACCACCCCAAGGCTGTCGAAGAGCTTCTAGCTGCTGGTGCCAACTGTGGCCTGCGTAGTATGTGTACCAACGGCAGCCGTTGTTCTCCGCTCGAGATTGCTGCAGGCAGAGGTCACGCGGACGTCTTGAAGGCCTTGCTAGACAAAGGCGATAGTGAAGTCGATGCCGCCAATGATCTCGGGTGGGCGGCTTTACACTATGCTGCTTCTGTTGATGGAACTGTTCGCGACAATGGTGATGCTGTGCGTGTACTGTTGGGAGCTGGGGCTGATGTCAACGTGAAGACCACCAACGACTCCTGCGCTACGCCGCTCCATCTTGCCGTTGATTGTCGGATGACATCTACCGGCACGATTTGCGCCCTGTTGGAAGGAGGGGCCAATATCAATGCGCGCACTGCAGGCGACGATACGCCACTGCACATAGCTTGCACGCGTTTGAGTGGTAGTGTCGTGGAGCTTTTACTGCGTTGGGGAGCAGATGAGGACTTCCCGAACAACGATGGAGACATGCCCGCAGACGTGATAGGAGTGTTGGAACAGAATGACCTTGACGACGAAGAACTCGAGGCCGACAACCAGCGCATTCGCCGAATGTTGGCGCGCGCTCCAGCCGACAGGTCATGGCGTCGCCGCGGCTGGCTGGTGCTGAGCCGCTCCTGCCCGACCAGGGTGCACATTGCAAACGGCGGCAGCAGCAGCAGCATCAGCAGCACCAACGGTAACTCTGCCAAGGTGGCGAGGGTCAGCGGCGAGGGTTCAAGTCGGGATGATGAGGAGACGGAAGACCAGATGATGGTGGACTTGAGGGATCTGGTGGGCAGGCTGGTCGGACTGGAGGCAGAAGGCTTGTTCCGCTTGGTGGTGGGCTTTCTGTGAGGTACGAGAGAGAAGGCAGATTTTTGGCGAACCGTCGACTATGATCACGTTGCTATGGAAGCAAGCAAAGACGACGAGCAAATTCTCTTGATTATTCCCATTTACCAGCGCGGAAATTGCGTAAGTTGTTTTTCCTCGATTGCTTCGCACCCACCAATCCCGTTGTACTGATATACAGGGGGTTGGTGGAAGTACCCCGATGTCTTTTTGCTTCAGATGTGATTCATACGTGTGCGACGTTTAGAGCAGGGAATGGGGAACAGTTTATACGAATGTCACATTTATTGGACAGTTGTTATGGGAGTGCGAAACAAACGAGGTTTTGAGCGGTACCGGCCGAACAAGGAATAGCTATTTCCTAGTACTGTTTCCGCTGGCCATTTGTCGGTTGCCCGCGACAATTCTTCACCGTTCGGGAGGGGGAGCGAACTATTAGACTCCTGTACACTTAAGTTGGTTTCTCTTTTTTATATATGCGGTGATGTGCTCTTGGTGGTCGTGTTGTAACCGGCCATGCCGTTCAGAAGTCCAGCCGATGCGTCAACTCGATTTCTCGCGTACATCTGTTGTCCTGTGCTCACCACTGGCAGTGCAGCCCATCCATGGCTTTTCTGTGTGGCGACTTCCGTTTGCAACACTCCTTTGGATGCCATTCCGGCCGGAGCTACAAGCAAGGACATGTAGCTCCCTCTGCTACTCTTGCACACTTGGAAAGATGGAATGGTCCTACATAATGCTATTGGTAGGTATGCTCTGACCATGCGCCGTCTTTCCGCTGTATTCCCCCGCGACTACGTACAGCTATTTAGGTTTCAAGCACAGGAAGAAGTCGGAGCGGAGTCCTTTGTTCGAGCCAAACATACCCGTCTGATCGTTCGCGCCAGGTGGTAGTCACCGCAATATGTCGATGGTGACGATGGTGGCTGGAGAGTTGGCACAGATTCAGGTGTGCCAAAACTGAACCCTGGGGAGAGCTGAGCTTTGGTTGTCGTTTGAGAACAGGTTGATTTTCTTTCTACTTTGGCCGGAATCATTTTGGCACAAATACGCCCCCATGCCCCTCGAACTGCCGCTAGGGTTCTCGGTGTGCGCCTTGGACCTTGTTCGTGCTTTGATTGCTCTTGCTTGTCTCCTTGATCCCGTTGCGCCTGTCTGTGGATAGGACGTTCTATTTCGTGATTTCTCTAGGTCTTTGTTTGTAAGCAAGAACCGTGGCGAGTCCGTCTCTCACGCCTTGGTACGGTGTTGCAGCTGGCAGGTTGTTAGCTCGGTGACAGCAAAGAAGGATCCTGGGTGCATTTGTGAAGCACAGAGGGACCATGGCTGCCATTTTATCCCGTTGTGTTGTCAGGTGGCTTCCCTCCATGTTGTTCGCCGATTGTTGTATTATTACAGTAGGTGGTTGGGGCGAACGTCAACGGAGAAGGCCGGTATACGTTTCACATTGTGTTTGTTTGCCGAGGGTAGCGCGATGTGGTTCTCGTAGAAGAGCTCCTATTACTGATGCGCAGTATGTAGCAAGACAAGTGTGAGTGTGCTTGGTGTTTGGGGGAGGGGGGGTGTATGTGTTGCGGTCCAGGTGGATCGCGGTGCTGCTGTGATACGTCAACACCAGGGAAGTGTGTCACGTTGTTTGTGGCGGAGGGGGGGGGGGGGGGGGGGGG